CATTGCAAGAACTGCCATTACATTTGTTGTATGAAACAAAAGCAGGGGATGTAATAAATCCAAATTAACATTGGATGTAAATAAATAAAAGCGACTCCAGTGTATAACATTAGTTTAAGTTTGTGTTGTTTTATGTACCTGTTATGCTATGTTTTGGGCAAAAAAAAATCAAATATTACACGTGGTTACCGGATTTGAAACGCACTTTCTTTTAACTTAACTCTATTTAAAACTACTTTATTACAAGAGGCAGTTTGAATACAATTTCACTACTTTCTGTTTGCTTTGATTACTCTCCACTTCACTGATGATGATTGATGACGTCGCTGTAGCGAAAGAGGATCAGTCCTGTCACTCTTCGACTTTTATATCAGGGCGCGGCGGTAGATGGTACAACGCCATGCCACCAATCTAAATTTTCTTTTTGGGCATTTATCGCCGTCGATCAACAGGGGGTTTTAAGATGTGGCCGGTGCGCAACAGGTGGCGCGTCGATGCACTTTCGTTGTCACAAACATACTGGCCCCTTCAGGAACTTCGTTTCTGACATGTACACTCGATGATCAGCTGCTCTGCTACCGGTCTCTTTCTCGCATCGGGACTGTCACTGCTGTACGATCTATGAAGCTTCAGAGGACGATTTGTTTACACACGTACGTCGAAGATAGAAAATGGTCGGCAAACATTAGACCCGGTAGCGGGGTTTGATTTAAATTATTAGATTGGACAGGTGCATATGTTGCCCTTTCTAATGAAAGGCATTGATTTTTAATTGTAGATGCTCCTGCTGCCGACGGATAGTCGTGCTTCGGAATACTATCGTTGAAGGTTGAATTTTGGAATGCAAGTTGCTGGATGGCTGCGGTGTTGATGTTTACATCTGTGGTGTTTGGTTTTGGTCGGACAATGCAAAAGGAAACATTTTGAAACCGAGCGAACGTAACGGCCGGTTGGTGTTTGGTTTGGACCGTCACTACTCTGATGACTCCATCTGAGCCGGGATGAACCTGGTCGATTTTGACGATCTGCCAGTGCATTGGTGCAGTGTTTTCGTCACGAAGAACAACAAGTTGGTTTTGCTGAAGCTAAATAGGTGGATTGCACCATTTTGTACGTGACTGCAGTGTGGAAAAATACTCTCTTCCACAATTCCTGGAACAGTTTTTGTCGATTCGTTGGGTTGTCGACGTAATTGACGTCTGGAACAGCTTTGAGGGCGGATCCCGTTAAAAAGTGTCCCGGAGTGAGTGGCGCAAAGTCGGTAGGATCATCGCTCAGTGGTTCCACTGAGTTCAGACAGGATTCGATCTGGCACAACAGCGTAGTCATGTCGTCGTAGGCAAGAGTGTGCTTTCCGAGGACCCGATTTAAATGCTTTTGAGCAGAAGAGGGATGCTCTAGGAGGGTTGAAGTGCCAACGAATTCCTTGCAGATTGCATTCTTGTGTGATAGTATTGCAATGCTCCTTGTTGCGAACGAGATGACGAAGTTCATTATTCGCTCCGGCAGTTTCGATCATTATCGCTGTGTAGATTAGAGGAAAGGGCACGGCGAGACACGAACCGACGAAGCGCTGGTAAAAATTTCGGTGCACTGAGATCTGCTACAAGTTTCAGATGTACTGCTTTCGTAAAGAAGCAAATAACGTAAGCTTTCCCGGGTGCAGCACGACGATGGTGGGTTGAGTGAAATTGATCCCCAATAGTCTTCTCCTGTAACGGTGAAGGGTCGACTTGCAGTAGTTCTCGACGCAGGAAGCTCTACCATAAATTGCTCTAGCATTCGAGGGCGCGCTCGGAAGCAAGTGACGCATGGGTGAGATCCACACGCTTGGCCTGTTCCTGGCCCCTATGATCCATTACAGTACTTTTGCCGAAGTAGATTGAGTAGCAATTGTAGAGCTGCATGGAGATGCCGTTCGTGAAGCTGTGAACCAAAAGCAGCGAAAATTTGTGCGATGCTGGCAGGAGAATTTGATGCTTGCTATTGTATGGTTGTTCTGCGTTTCCCAATCTGCCACCGATGCGAATTACCTTCTCTGACGAGATGAACGGGTGGAACCACTTGAGGCGAGATTTCATCGATACTGGTTCCGACTGTTGAAGCTGCTTCCACTCTTCGCTGTAGGCTTGTTGTTGAACCAATTTGATGAGTAGACTCCCCGCTTCTAACATCTCTTCTATTTTCAGCAGAGTAGAATTTGACAGTTCGCTGGATTGTTTTCGATAGCTTTGAATAAAACGACGGCAGTAAGCGACCACACGCAAAAGATGCTGGTAACAGCTTTGAGGGCGGATCCCGTTAAAAAGTGTCCCGGAGTGAGTGGCGCAAAGTCGGTAGGATCATCGCTCAGTGGTTCCACTGAGTTCAGACAGGATTCGATCTGGCACAACAGCGTAGTCATGTCGTCGTAGGCAAGAGTGTGCTTTCCGAGGACCCGATTTAAATGCTTTTGAGCAGAAGAGGGATGCTCTAGGAGGGTTGAAGTGCCAACGAATTCCTTGCAGATTGCATTCTTGTGTGATAGTATTGCAATGCTCCTTGTTGCGAACGAGATGACGAAGTTCATTATTCGCTCCGGCAGTTTCGATCATTATCGCTGTGTAGATTAGAGCAAAGGGCACGGCGAGACACGAACCGACGAAGCGCTGGTAAAAATTTCGGTGCACTGAGATCTGCTACAAGTTTCAGATGTACTGCTTTCGTAAAGAAGCAAATAACGTAAGCTTTCCCGGGTGCAGCACGACGATGGTGGGTTGAGTGAAATTGGTCCCCAATAGTCTTCTCCTGTAACGGTGAAGGGTCGACTTGCAGTAGTTCTCGACGCAGGAAGCTCTACCATAAATTGCTCTAGCATTCGAGGGCGCGCTCGGAAGCAAGTGACGCATGGGTGAGATCCACACGCTTGGCCTGTTCCTGGTCCCTATGATCCATTACAGTACTTTTGCCGAAGTAGATTGAGTAGCAATTGTAGAGCTGCATGGAGATGCCGTTCGTGAAGCTGTGAACCAAAAGCAGCGAAAATTTGTGCGATGCTGGCAGGAGAATTTGATGCTTGCTATTGTATGGTTGTTCTGCGTTTCCCAATCTGCCACCGTTGCGAATTACCTTCTCTGACGAGATGAACGGGTGGAACCACTTGAGGCGAGATTTCATCGATACTGGTTCCGACTGTTGAAGCTGCTTCCACTCTTCGCTGTAGGCTTGTTGTTGAACCAATTTGATGAGTAGACTCCCCGCTTCTAACATCTCTTCTATTTTCAGCAGAGTAGAATTTGACAGTTCGCTGGATTGTTTTCGATAGCTTTGAATAAAACGACGGCAGTAAGCGACCACACGCAAAAGATGCTGGTATTTAGAGAATTTTTCCAAGAGCAGGTCGACGAATGACGGTTTGTTTGGTGACGACGATACTGCTACGGAGATTCGACGTGCTTCTTCCAACGCATCAGAAGGTTGATCGTGTGTACTTTCAGCTACTGGCCAGTAATCTTGGGGTTGCCGAAGCCATTCAGGTCCCTGTCACCAGAGGTCAAAGTCAATGATAGCGTCTGCAGTTATCCCACGTGAAATGCAGTCCGCAGGATTTTCTAGACCAGCTACATGATTCCATGAGCTATTCTGGGTGGCGAGCTGGAATTTAGATGTTCGGTTGAAAACGAACGTGTTCCAAGTAGAAGGAGATGCGTTGACCCAGCAGAGTACGACCAACAATCAATACGAAACTAACGATTGAAAATTGGCTCACTACTTGACTAGCCTATTCTGCCGCTATTCGCATAACTGTCCCATTTCCTATGGATTTCCTATCTACATAGGACTGTTATTCGAATAGCGGCAGTATTGGCCCCAAGCAAATTCATTAACGTACCCCATTCTAGCGAAGATGTAAATCTGGATCGTTGCAGGTTCAGGTTGCAGATTACTGCGAGAAATTCGATGTTGGTGGTGTACGCACCAACTCGAGAGCAGATTGTGGATGAAAACTTTAGCTTAGCTTGAGATAGATTTTCTTCCTCTGAGCCTTGATGCGCTGTGAAAACCGATCCGTGATGAAGCAGCATTCACTTCCTGAGTCCAGGAGTGCGCGAGCGACGTGTTCGACTCCGTTGTCATCGATTAAGATTATCACTGCAGTGGCAAGAAGAGCTGTCTTCCGTTTATGACCAGTGGAAGCGCAACTGATGGATTCGACGACCGTAGCAGACGAATACATGGTCGGAGGATCGGTAGCTGGAGTAGGTATTTAAAACTACTAAATACATTCCACTTTATTACAAGAGGCAGTTTGAATTCAATTTCACTACTTTCTTCTGTTTCTTTTGATTACTCTCTACTTCACTGATGATGATTGATGACGTCGCTGTAGCGAAAGAGGATCAGTTCTGTCACTCTTCGACTTTTATATCAGGGCGCGGCTGAAGATGGTACAACGCCATGCCACCAATCTAAATTTTCCTTTTGGGCGTTTATCGCCGTCGATCAACAGGGGGTTTAAGATGTGGCCGATGAGCAACAGACGGCGCGTCGATGCACTTTCGTTGTCACGTATAAACATTTTTCAATTTTTTTTTTTCAACGTTTTTTTTCAACGTTTGCAATGTCACTCCGGTTTATGGTAGCGAAATTATGTATAGAAGAGTTGGTGACTTCTGCCAAAATTTCTTGAAAACGGTACAACTAAAACACTTACTAATTCTAGTTACATTATCCGTTTTCGTTCAAGAGTAATCAAATGGCATGCTTACAAAAAAAAAATCACAATTTAAGGTATAAATGCAAAATTTCTATAAAAATGTTTGGATAATGTTAGTTAGCATATGTAATTCTACTATGCTAAGGTTACCTTAGAATGCTAAAATTACATAAGTTAACATAATCCAAACATTTGAAAATGTTTTTTTTGTCGGTTCTTACGCGGTACTTATCCCCCGAGTAAAAACCGACTCCTGTGAATGTATTTAATATATTGTGTGTTTATTGTTATTGCCATAAATTACCTCGGATTCTCCGCTCGAACATTCATCATCGTTTTCATCTTGATTACATGACATGAGAACCAATAGCACAGCAATAACCTGATGTGTTGAAAAACGTTTGGCAAGCATCGTCTTCGACAGGGTATGAAGGAAAAGCTTTTGAGCATATGAAGAAACAACGTGTTCTGGAATTTGAATGCATGTCAAGATGTATTTTTATTTTATTTTGGATAAGTTTGACACCTACGCATTTTGGATCCCTCCGCAATGTTGAATACGTTTGTTACAATGGTAGCTGCACCTTCTCTAATGTCTGAATCATCATCTCTTAAAAGTGTCAATAAAGCTTTGCTGTAGTTCATACGCAATTCTAAAGATTTTGATTCAATAAATAACCTAGATGTAATTTTCAGTATTTGTATAGTAGTTGACCTAAACAGAGACATGCATAGGTTTGGTTAAATTTCGATTTGCCATAAATACATTATTGTGAGCTTACCTTACGCCTTCACATTGCATTGCAGAAGCCATTTTCGGTAAAAGATTAACATCAAGTGTACTTTCGGTATTTTTCATTTCGGCACTATATATACATTTAATACATTTATAAATACTTGCTTTCAATTGATTAGGTTTATGTTTTGCCAAATCGAATATGAATTTCAAGGTATCTCTGCAACTGCTAGACATCACTAGTGATGGCACTAGTGCCTGAACTCCAACAATGCTGTAGCTCAAGATTGTGAACGCTTTTACCGTGCAGTTATAGTGTAAGTTTTTCTCAATGATCATTTTTAGGAAATGATGAAACTTCAAGGATTTCAAAAATTCATTCTGAAGCGCTTTGAGTTTCGTGCGCTTGTAGTTGCTGAGGTGACGAATATAAAATATTTCCATTCTATCGAGATCATACTGTTCAGCATTTGACGAAAGCTCTTGGAAGTCCAACATCAGTAGAATAATGTTCATAACTGCTTCCAGGTAGTCGTATTTATATTTGTCCGGATCAATATCGCAGAGGAAGCAACCGCTAAGAATATTTTCGTCATCATTATGCATGTACATAACTACCTTGATGAGAACGAGCTTTCTCATTATAAGCTCGGTACCATAAAAGCTTTTCTGCTTTGAAAGGTTGAATAAGTAGTCGACAATGTTGCTGAGATCATCCAAAAACTGGTCATCCTCGTCGAATATAACGTTTTGACATCTGTAATGAGTAAAATTTAAAATTTCAGTTATAAATTATTGAAGGAAAATTATTTGTTGAACTCATTCCTACACATAACATATCGCTATGAATAAAAATTGGTGGGGTAGTGTACAAGACACGATCGCATTTTTGACGTAGAATACGTTAAGCTGTGTAGGAAAATTCTCGTAAATTTTTCTAGATATTGATTTAAAATACAGTAGAAGTAACCTATGATTTCGGTCCTATGTACATATTTTGAATTGCCTGGATTTGGTTCCTAAATTACAATTTTTTTTGTATAACAAGTTGGTTTTATTTGTCAGTTTGTTTGATAACAGTAATTATAATTTGTTATTCTAAATCGAGATGAAATTCCAGTGCGTCTACATCAATTATTTCGTTACATTCACAAACAAAGCAGATGTATTTAATAAAAAACACTTAACACTTCCGCGCGCCTTCTTCTGTCTACTCCTACTAGGGCAGGTCTCACCAAGTCTTCAAAAGAGAGTCGTCTCCATCCATTCATTATGGCTTCTATCCTCTGCTGTAGAACCGTCCAAGCCGGGTCGACACGAGCAAGACTTTGCAGACCTACAGAATAACAATGCTTTGCAACATCAGGCTCATCGATAGAACTAGCAACAACCCATTCAAGTCGAGTTTCTTGGAGGATTGGAAGTTCTTCAGCAATCTTGAATTGACCTGGCAGCAATAATTTGAAAAACAACTGAATTCCAATCAGCAAGTCAATTTCACCGGGATTATGAAATTCCGGATCTGCAAGTGGAAGATTCGGAGGTATGTTCCACTTCCTTATATCGAATGGAACAGATGGCATTGGGCCAGTAACTTTGTCAGCAACAAGACACTCAAGTTGCGCAGCATAGTTAGAATTACAAGAACGTATCTCAATTCTAACAATCTCAGATAGCGTTGGACGCTGACCATTTGCTCCGACTACCTCAACATTAGTGGAGAAACGGGGTAGATTCAAAGACTTAACCAGACTACGAGAAGTAAGGTTAGACTGGGAACCACAATCCAAAAATGCTCGACAGTATTTCAGATTTCCATCCGAATCCTTAATCTGAACCCTAGCGGTCATCAACAAACTATTGCTCAGACGTGGGGATTGCTTTAGTGAACACGAGACTGCACTATTGGACTGGGATTTGTTGGGAACAGATTGGCATTGCACATTTGGAACATTCGACTTCAAGACGGACTGCGAAACATCAGGAAAAATTTGAAACTTTGATGTTGACTGTGAAACCTCAGAAACAGACTGGGATTCAGCGTTCGAGACATGGGATTTCGAGGTAGACTGGAAAACCGGTTTATCACTATGCAAAAGGGTATGGTGTCTACCCTTGCATTTAGAACACGTATATGACGATGTACACGAACTACTTAAATGACCCACTTTCAAACAATTAAAACAAGCTTTGATCTCTCTTACCTTGGCTTGGCGTTGCACGAAGGTCATCGCTCGGAAGATCTCGCACTTGAAGTTTGGGTGGGCTCCGGTTCCACACATGTCACAGGACTCCTTTCCGGTTACAGCAAAAGCTTTGGTAGAGATGGTCTACACTTCACACTTAGAAATTTTTACAGAAATCTGTAAAATTTTACCGAAATCTCAACAGCTGAACGTTCGGTAAACAGTTTCGCAGATTTCCTGTAATTTTTCACAAATATCTGTGAATTTTTCACAGATATCTGTAAAAAAATACAGGAAAACTGTAAAATTGTTTACCGAACGTTCAGCTGTTGAGATTTCGGTAAAATTTTACAGATTTCGGTAAAATAATCTAAGTGTGTTGATTCTTGCTTGGTACAGATGGCTTCATAACAGGTGGCTTCGCGATCGCATCCTCGCACCGCTGCAGGATTGAGCAGCGCTTCTTCAGGAACTCCATCGTGTCCTTGTACGCTGTCCATAAACTACGTAGACAGTTTGAGGGGGGGGGGGGTTGGCAATTATCCACGGCCCATACAAATTTTAATAATTTTGTATGGACAATTGTCTACGCAGGGGGAGGGGGGGGGTCAAGAATCCCAAAAAATTGTCTACGTAGTTTATGAACAGGCCCTAGGCGGGAATTTGCTTGTGGGAAACGGTTGATTTCCATTCCATCCGGGTTTTGGCATCCAAAGCTGTTGCAACGAGGTTTACAACGAAACGCTCCGACATACCGTTCATCACTTCATCCATGAGCTTCAGTCCATCGATGTGTCGGGATACTTTATCGACTAATTCCCGAAGATCCTTGGAACTTGTTCGGTTCATTTTCTTCAGGCTAAGCAGCCCCTGGATGTGTGTGTCCACGATAAGCCGCTTGTTTTCAAAACGATCTTCCAGCAGCTCCCACGCTCCGACATAATTATTCTCGTTCAAGGTGCAGACGTCGATGATTCCAGCGGCATTACCAATCAACGCTTTATCAAGGTGGTAAAGTTCAATGGCGTCGGAATTGGTGGATGTTCTCATGACGTCGAGAAACATGGCCTTGAAACGTGGCCAGTTCTCGGGTTTCCCATCGAAGGTGGGAATGGGAGCCTTGAGTGGTTGCTGCTGTACGATTATGCGAGGAAGAGTGATAATCGGCAACACTGTTAGCTACGTATACCGCTGCGTTTGGTCGTTAATTACTTGCACTTGTTTATGTTGTTATTACGGTTATAAATTATACCTTCATCGTTCGATCGTCAGTTTATGTGCTACTGCATTGAAGTGCCGTGAATTTCTTTCGGTGTGTTGTGTTTTCGTGGTTCTGTTTTAAAGTGAAAGTGAAGCATTTTGAACATTGTTTACAAACACTTTTCAAAGCAAACCCCACGCGATTTTTTTTTCCGAAGCGCCATCTACCAGCAAAATTTTGAAGCTTGCGAGCTTTTGTTGAGCTCGTGGTGAAACTGTTGCAAACATTTTGGCGCATTGCTATCGCCTGGATTCTACCGTTGTATTGCACATTCGCCGTCAAGCTTACCTGCTCTGTTGTTGCATACTACTCTAGGCGCATTACTTTAAACTGTGTAGTAGCGCTGCTTTGGCAATCGCATCAAATCCTGAGAATTACTTCAATCCTGAAAATAACTTCTACTTGCCACTCCTGTGCTACAAATGTCATTGACAATTCCATTTCATGCAGTGGCTTCTGCAAGGCGGAATGTCACCTCAAATGCGTCAATATCACTTCAGCTGTTAACGATGAGATGAAAATGAACTCGCAATTATTCTGGATGTGCAGGTCGTGTACCAAATTAATGGATGACATTCGTTTCCGTAATTCCATTCGAGGCGCTTATGAGGCTGGGCAAGAACATGTCCTTGGCGATCATAATGAGATCGTTCAAAGAATTAAGTCGGAAATCATGAATGAACTCAAAAGTGAACTTCGTCTGAACTTCACCGCTTTGATCAATTCCAGTGCACTTACACCAAAATCATCAACTCGTAATACGAATACCGCTGGGTCTTGCGAAGCCGACGATTGTTCCGTAAACCTGAAGTTGCTGAACGCCGTCAACAGGAATTGATGTGTGGAACTGCAAGCTCAATATCTCCATCTATCGGCACTTTTGCTGTACCACCTCCACGGCAGAAGTTTTGGCTCTACCTTTCGCGTATCTCTCGTGACGTCACAGTGGAGCAAGTACGTGAACTGGCGATGCAGAGGTTAGGAATAAATGACGTTGAGACATTCAGACTAGTCGCCAATGGTAAGAATGTCAGCAGTCTGTCATTCATTTCGTTCAAACTCGGTATGAGTCCTGAGCTGAAAGCAAAGGCTCTTTCGACTGCAACGTGGCCAAAGGGAATACTGCAATCGGTGGTTTACAGAGACTCTTCAATAGGGTCTCCGCACTGTTTGATTTTGACCTGACTCGCCAGCTGCTTCGCCGGAGATTTAGTTCGTTTTTTCTAGATCAGTTTAGTTTGTTTAGTAATGTTCCTTTTTTACGAGATGACTATCTATGTACTTGTTGATGTTTTGTTTAAGTACTTTTCATGTTTAGTTTTAGTTACATCATTGGGGCAAATAACGCCTGTTCATGTTCAGTCATATAAATAAATAAATGATAAATAAATCCCTTCTCGCTGGGACAATGGACAATTGGACGAGGTTGCGGTTCGGTCATCGACTGAATTAATGTTTCAACCAACATGCAAGCCTCGTTGTATTGGTCTTCAAATGTGATGAACGTTTCATCCTGGTTCACTAGATTTTCCGCGGGAGTTGGTAGTGCGTTTCCAAATTGTGTGTGAAGACCTTGAGATGCACCAAACTTAATTGTCTTTCTCCAGCTCCAGACGCTTCTTCGACGGCCTTCCGGATCCTCGTCACTTTGGCCTTTGCTTGCCCATGCAGGTGAACAGCAATCTTCACTTCAGCCATCTTCTCCTTCTCGTTCTTCACAGGTGCGTGCTGAATTGGTATCAAGCACAGCGATCACATGCACAACGAAAGGAACGAACACGTTCCACCACTTGCGCACGACGTAAGACGCTCGCGTACGTTTTGTTTTGCACACACGACGACGAACAGGTTCGATTTCACTCGCGACTGTACTTTCGAAGAAACTTGCGGTTTTCCTCTTAGCCAAACCACAAGAAAATTCTAAAACAAAACTCTGCGAGCTTTCCGTGAGGTAGTAGCAGGAAATCCGGTTCGGCAGGACCAAAAATGTCCGATCACGGACACTGGAGATGGTGTGGCAATCCTCGGCTCAGAGGATTCCAGCTGATTTGGCCAATTCCCCCTGTGGGAATGCCAACAGGAACACACAGAAAAGCTCGACTGAAAATTCTACTTAACTCATAGCCCTGAAAAGGACTGTTTTGTCTTCGGCTTGTTCAAGAAGGAAAAAACGATGGGTTATAATTTCAACGGCGCTATAATTCGGTGTTCTCTTTACAAGGTTTGTGGACTGTATCATCGCGACGCGCTAAATGCGTTGCCTTAAATATGTTTAGCTGTCTTCATTTTTCATTCATGCACAAACCAATC